GTGTCACAAAGACGCGGGATTGCTCATTTAACACGATGTAGTACGAACTCTAGATGGGATCCTGCGATATTTCTCACTGATGGTGTCACCTGTTATCGCCAAACTCAAAAATAAAAATAGCCTTATCTACATTTCGGGGAAGTACCCGTTTGGCGGGTCGGGGGATGGACCATGTCACTTTAAATGACAGTTGACAGGTGACATAAGGTGCGAGTAGGACGCATGCACGTGTTGTTGGTGTCTCTTTAGTACAATAATGCAGTCGTAAACCCGAATACCCAGTATCTCTAAACCTCGCTTTTAAGATGACAAAAAACTTGAATGAACAGTTACAAAGAGTGAAGAAATAAATCAAGTTATGAAATAAGATATCACATCTTAATACCAGGTAAAGTAATAACTAACGTGCTGTCTTTCTTCCACTATCACAGGGCCATATTATATTGATGTCTCTTTATAACGTCACAGGACCATATTACATTGATGTCTCTTTATAACGTCACAGGGCCATATTACATTGATGTCTCTTTATAACGTACAGGGTCATATTATATTGATGTCTCTTTATAACGTCACAGAGCCATATTACATTGATGTCTCTTTACAACGTCACAGGGCCATATTACATTGATGTCTCTTTATAACGTCACAGAGCCATATTACATTGATGTCTCTTTATAACGTCACAGGGTCACATTGATGTACCCTTCACAACGTCACAGGGTCATATTACATTGGTGTCTCTTTATAACGTCACATGGTCATACCACATTGGTGTCCTTTACAAAGGCACACGAATATATATTACATTGGTGTCGCTTTACGTTGTCACAAGGTCATATCCCATTGGTGTCCCCTTTACAACGTTAGAGGATCGTATAAAATTGTTGTCCCTTTACACTGTATTATGACCATATTACACTGATGTAATTTACACTGTAACAGGAACACATTACACTGATGTCATTTACACTGTAACAGGAACATGTTACACTGATGTCATTTACACTGTAACAGGAACACATTACACTGATGTCATTTACACTGTAACAGGAACACATTACACTGATGTCATTTACACTGTAACAGGAACATATTACACTGATGTCATTTACACTGTAACAGGAACACATTACACTGATGTCATTTACACTGTTACAGGAACATATTACACTGGTGTCATTTACACTGTAACAGGAACACATTACACTGATGTCATTTACACTGTAACAGGAACATATTACACTGGTGTCATTTACACTGTAACAGGAACACATTACACTGATGTCATTTACACTGTAACAGGAACACATTACACTGATGTCATTTACACTGTAACAGGAACACATTACACTGATGTCATTTACACTGTAACAGGAACATGTTACACTGATGTCATTTACACTGTAACAGGAACATATTACACTGGTGTCATTTGCACTGTAACAGGAACACATTACACTGATGTCATTTACACTGTAACAGGAACATGTTACACTGATGTCATTTACACTGTAACAGGAACATATTACACTGATGTCATTTACACTGTAACAGGAACACGTTACACTGATGTCATTTACACTGTAACAGGAACACGTTACACTGATGTCATTTACACTGTAACAGGAACACGTTACACTGGTAATTTGACAAGTTCACATTTTAAAAAAAAAAAAAATTTTTCAACAATGTCACACAGTCATGCCTCATTGATGTCTTTTTCAGGTCCATTGATCATTCTTAAATTGATGTCTTTTACAACGTAGATAGTGCATACTTTATTGGTTTGTTTTTCAAAATCATATTTCATGTCTTTTACAAGATCATTCTTCAATGGTGTCTTTTAATGGTGACGTCATAGTTTCAACGTCCAATGGTTTGCCCTTTTACGTGTCACAAATTCCAAATGTTCCCGTCTTTAAACAAGGTCAGAATGTCGAACACTATGGCTGCCCTATGTCATGCGTCTTTCCTGGTCAATGTGAAGGAGAAGCAAATGATATTTATTTCCCCAACATAATGAGATAGAGGAGTATCGATTTTAGAATAAGCTAGCTATTATTTGAATCTAGAGGGATAATGTTATGTACATGCATAAATGCAAAGTTCAGCACTGTACTTTAACAGTACGACACCATTAAATATAAAACTTTATATACATATTCTTGTCTGTGCTGGAGTGTGTGCACGTTTAAAATATCAATATTTACACGCATATCCATTCATAATGGTCGTATGTACCGAGCTAAAATATATCTGTTCGGTAGGAGGCGCTTTTTGTGACTATTGTTTTACATAGAAATAGTTTGATAAATATTGATATTAAGAATATTATATCAAAAGAAAGAAAATATTGTCCCAAATATTTCAAATGACTTTAAATCGACGTTATATATACATTGTACCTACGCTGAAGCTACCTTGTGGATTATGAGATCTATATAACTATCAAGTTGAAAAACAGAAATTTGATGCGACAACATCGTTTAATGTTAGTTAGACATCGCACTTTTTTTGTTAGAAAACATTATCTTCTTCTATTTAGGCACCACACTATAGTGAGCAACATTATCTGAATTATTTAGGCACCACACTATAGGGAGACAACATTATCGCAATCATTTATATACCATACTATTGAGAGACAACTTTGTGTTATTTATTTAGACACCACACTACTTTGGGAGACAACTTTGTGTTATTTATTTAGACACCACACTACTTTGGGAGACAACTTTATGTTATTTATTTAGACACCACACTACTTTGGGAGACAACTTTGTGTTATTTATTTAGACACCACACTACTTTGGGAGACAACTTTGTGTTATTTATTTAGACACCACACTACTTTGGGAGACAACTTTGTGTTATTTATTTAGACACCACACTACTTTGGGAGACAACTTTGTGTTATTTATTTAGACACCACACTACTTTGGGAGACAACTTTATGTTATTTATTTAGACACCACACAATTGGGAGACAACTTTAGCATATTCATTTATATATCATACTATTGGGAGACAACTGTATGTTATTTATTTAGACACCACACTATTTTGGGAGACAACTTTGCTTTATCTTAGTCAGACTTCGCACTTTTTTGAGATAAAAAATATTCTATTCTATTTAGACTCCACACTAATGAGAGACAACATTATCTCATTTATTTAGACACCACTACAGACAACATTATTACATTTATTTAGACACCACTATAGATAACATTATTACATTTATTTAGACACCACTATAGATAACATTATTACATTTATTTAGACACCACTATAGATAACATTATTACATTTATTTAGACACCACTATAGATAACATTATTACATTTATTTAGACACCACTATAGATAACATTATTACATTTATTTAGACACCACTATAGATAACATTATTACATTTATTTAGACACCACTATAGATAACATTATTACATTTATTTAGACACCACTATAGATAACATTATTACATTTATTTAGACACCACTATAGATAACATTATTACATTTATTTAGACACCACTATAGATAACATTATTACATTTATTTAGACACCACTATAGATAACATTATTACATTTATTTAGACACCACTATAGACAATATTATCTACATTTATTTAGACACCACTACAGACAATATTATCTCATTTATTTAGACACCACTATAGATAACATTATTACATTTATTTAGACACCACTATAGATAACATTATTATATTTATTTAGACACCACTATAGATAACATTATTACATTTATTTAGACACCACTACAGACAATATTATCTCATTTATTTAGACACCACTATAGACAATATTATCTCATTTATTTAGACACCACTACAGACAATATTATCTCATTTATTTAGACACCACTATAGACAACATTATCTCATTTATTTAGACACCACTATAGACAACATTATCTCATTTATTTAGACACCACTATAGACAACATTATTACATTTATTTAGACACCACTATAGACAACATTATCTCATTTATTTAGACACCACTATAGACAACATTATCTCATTTATTTAGACACCACTATAGACAACATTATCTCATTTATTTAGACACCACTATAGATAACATTATTACATTTATTTAGACACCACTATAGATAACATTATTATATTTGTTTAGACACTACACAATTGGATGTCATTAGCTTATTAATTTAGACATACCACAATTGGGAGACAACATTTTCTTATTTATTTAGGGACAAAACTATTGGGAGACAATATTATCTTATCTAATTAGACATCAAACTATTAGGGGACAATACTGTCTTATTAATTTAGACACTACACATTTCGAAGACAATATTATTTTATTAATTAAGACACGACGTAATTGGGAGACAACATACAATGCTCAATGTTCACTCAACAACGAAATCCTATATCTTCTGTATATGATTCACTAGAAAGTCTTTATTGGATCTTTACAACTGCAATAAATTTAAAAAGGAGATGTTTAGCCTCTTAGAAGCAGATAAAAAAACTCTGATACCATACCCAATAAGATAAGAATTCCTTTAAATAGATAGATAATTTTATTCCTGAAAAAGAATTTTGGTTTCAATATTTTCATGGAAAAACACTATGATAGCGAATGAAAATTTAGTTCTAGTTCATTTGTTAAATCAAATTATCGGCAAAGAGTAACTTTTTTCATAGAAGAAAACAAACAATCAAGAAAAATGTCAAAGGACTCCCCCATCATTGGAGAACGACATGTTATCATGTTATTAATTTGGAAAGTAAAAAATAAAATAATGATAGAAATGAAACAAAAACTACGGGCAGTCCTGCAGGTTGACCCCCAAGTTGTTGACCCCTACACTAGGAATCCTTCCTTTACCCCACGGCGCGGCGCCTAAGTCTCCCCCGGTGTGCCAAGTCACGCACCCGGGTCTGACAATATCTGGGGAGGGAGGCTTACCCAGTGCGCGCGACGGGTATCAAAGACTTCCCATATGGCCCTGACATTTGTTGGTGAAACACAAGGAGCACAAGGGTCAGTCTGAATTCGGACGGCCCAATTTCATCGATAACAACACCCTTTTAATCTGCAAAATAACCGGCCTTAGTCGTTTATAGAATTAATGGGTTTAATTTTACTTTGTGTCGTTTTCATTCTCTTTGATAGGAGATAATACGTTAGAGATTATTTAACCTAAATACGCAAAAATGAATAAGGAATCCTCTTGGCGGTTAATTTCATTCATGATCATTTAACCTGGATAATGATTAACCAGGTAAACAAACACTAACCAATACAAATATCAAATGCAAAGAAATCAATGAAAAAAATACTCAGTTATCAAAAGAGATATACAACAGGACGGAGTTATCAATGGAGATATACAACAGGAGAGAGTTATCAATGGAGATATACAACAGGACAGGGTTATCAATAGAGATATACAACAGGAGAGAATTATCAATGGAGATACACAACAGGAGAGAGTTATCAATGGAGATATACAACAGGACGGAGTTATCAATGGAGATATACAACAGGACGGAGTTATCAATAGAGCTATACAACAGGACAGAGTTATCAATGGAGATATACAACAGGACGGAGTTATCAATGGAGATATACAACAGGACGGAGTTATCAATGGAGATATACAACAGGACGGAGTTATCAATGAGGATATACAACAGGAGAGAGTTATCAATGGAGATACACAACAGGAGAGAGTTATCAATGGAGATATACAACAGGACGGAGTTATCAATGGAGATATACAACAGGACGGAGTTATCAATAGAGCTATACAACAGGACAGAGTTATCAATAGAGATATACAACAGGAGAGAATTATCAATGGAGATACACAACAGGAGAGAGTTATCAATGGAGATATACAACAGGACGGAGTTATCAATGGAGATATACAACAGGACGGAGTTATCAATGGAGATATACAACAGGACAGAGTTATCAATGGAGATATACAACAGGACGGAGTTATCAATGGAGATATACAACAGGACGGAGTTATCAATGGAGATATACAACAGGACGGAGTTATCAATGAGGATATACAACAGGAGAGAGTTATCAATGGAGATACACAACAGGAGAGAGTTATCAATGGAGATATACAACAGGACGGAGTTATCAATGGAGATATACAACAGGACGGAGTTATCAATAGAGCTATACAACAGGACAGAGTTATCAATGGAGATATACAACAGGACGGAGTTATCAATGGAGATATACAACAGGACAGGGTTATCAATAGAGATATACAACAGGAGAGAGTTATCAATGGAGATATACAACAGGACGGAGTTATCAATGGAGATATACAACAGGACGGAGTTATCAATAGAGATATACAACAGGACGGAGTTATCAATGGAGATATACAACAGGACGGAGTTATCAATGGAGATATACAACAGGAGAGAGTTATCAATGGAAATATACAACAGGACGGAGTTATCAATGGAGATATACAACAGGACGGAGTTATCAATGGAGATATACAACAGGACGGAATTATCGTGGAGATATACAACAGGACAGGGTTATCAATAGAGATATACAACAGGACGGAGTTATCAATGGAGATATACAACAGGACGGAGTTATAAATAGAGATCTACAACAGGACGGAGTTATCAATAGAGATCTACAACAGGACGGAGTTATCAATAGAGATCTACAACAGGACGGAGTTATCAATAGAGATATACATCTGGACAGAGTGATTAATGAAGATATACAATAGGACGGAGGTAGAGATATACAACAGGACGGAGTTATCAATGGAGATATACAACAGGACGGAGTTATCAATGGAGATATACAACAGGACGGAGTTATCAATGGGGATATACAACAGGACAGGGTTATCAATGGGGATATACAACAGGACGGAGTTATCAATGGAGATATACAACAGGACGGAGTTATCAATGGAGATATACAACAGGACGGAGTTATCAATAGAGATATACAACAGGACGGAGTTATCAATGGGGATATACAACAGGACAGGGTTATCAATGGGGATATACAACAGGATGGAGTTATCAATGGAGATATACAACAGGACGGAGGTAGAGATATACAACAGGACGGAGTTATCAATGGAGATATACAACAGGACGGAGTTATCAATGAGGATATACAACAGGACAGGGTTATCAATAGAGATATACAACAGGACAGGGTTATCAATGGGGATATACAACAGGACAGGGTTATCAATTGAGATATACAACAGGACGGAGTTATCAATAGAGATATACAACAGGACGGAGTTATCAATGGGGATATACAACAGGACAGGGTTATCAATTGAGATATACAACAGGACGGAGTTATCAATGAGGATATACAACAGGACGGAGTTATCAATGGAGATATACAACAGGACAGGGTTATCAAAGAACGAAGATCTTTTACTGCCATTATTTTTCTTTTCTGAAACATAATGTATTCTTGCTTTAAAACGGAAAATACCTTGACGTTCTCCAAATTATAAATCTGACTATTTGAAATATCGAAAAGTTTGGCGAACCTTTCAAAGTAGGAAAACGTGTTACTTTTAAAACAGAGATGGTTTCTTTCTCAAATTTGGTCGTTTACTTTCCTCTAGAATATTCTCCTCCGAATCTAATAACATAACCCCACTAAACTATGAAATGGTCTATCCAATTGTAGTAGGAAGCATGAACCCACCCCCCCCTCCTCCCTCCCCTAGACGGCGAACGATTACTCATCGACTTCCTGTTATTAACGTGATAAAAAACATGGCTGATCACTAATGGTAATTATTGGGGCAATACCATATTTCGTCTAAGCATAATCAAGCATGTTAATTTGTGAACTATTATTTTGAAAGTTCATCCCGTGTTCGTAATACTACTTATTTGATGTATGATGTTACGTCGCGAACATTCGGTAAAAGATCGTTTCTGTACTACGTTTCTGGTTGTTACAAGTTTTGAATCGGAAGGTTTCTCCAAGCTTTGATCAAATACTTGATCTCAGTCTTATTTTGAGACTTGATCTCACTGCCTCATTTTCTCGATAATGTGTGAAACCGGTTAATTCGATGTTCAAAAATTATCTCGATGTCGCGATTTTGCGTGTAACATGATTGGAAATACTCTATTTACTTGCTTGATATGAAGTTGGACGTGTTTGATGCTCGCTAGTCGTGGTTCCGTTGTTGTTGACCTAGTTCTCATTAGGGAACGTGACATTACTTTTTTTCAATTGACAAAAACTAGCGTCGTCGATAACAGTGAAGTCGCGTAATCCTTTAGAACGCCTGGTCTTATTCTCATTTTTTTCCGGGAGTCTGCTTGTGAATCTAACTTTATTCATACTTTGTCCTAGATTTATCTACTTTGAATTTTAAAAATCCAGTATTTTCTTCGTTGTCTATGGACACCATTCTTAGTATAGATTTGCCTGTTGCAAATACATGAAACTGCGAATTTTTTTTAAAGTGTCGAACACATTCGTCTACTCTGGTGGATGTTTGTAGAGAGGTTCCGAATGTATCTGCATCGCGCCATATTTACCACATCAACTGATTTATCCCAAGATTATGTATTATGTGTAAATATTTAACTATGAAATACGTTAAAACTAAACTTTTATTGTCTGAATCTAACTAAACACCTCACGCGTGTTCGCATTTAGTTGCAGTTCTTACAAAATTGTCAACACTATACCAGATGGTGGAACCGCTCGTCAACTACCACTAACGGTATAAACAAGCATTCAACGACCAAAGCTGGTATAGAGGGATTCTGTACATGTTTAAAGGGAAAAGATATTTTTAACGAAAAACTTACCGAATTAAAAAAAAAAAAATAGCTTAAGAACCACACACACCAGATATGTTATATTGACCCAAAGTTTGAAATAAAGAAAAGGACTGAATAAAGAGAACATCTATATAGCTGTCAAGATGACACTGTGATAAGAAGCCGAGAATCACATGTCCTGTATTGTATCGATATCTTACGTTTTAAACGCAATTATAAACTGTTGTGTGAATTTATGATTTAATTTTGTCCAAAAGACAAAGCCAATCCGTTGAGAATAAATCCTGGATTTGTTTACTTCGGCCTTTTCTGCGGTTTTAATGATCATCGAGAGGAAGGTTCTTTATGGGTTTATAGCCCCCAAGTGATATGTTGTCTTGTTTTCTCCCAGGACTTCTATCGAGAGAATTCATTATACACCCGATGTAAGGCTGCAATCATGGCAATGTTTACTGAAGGCTTAAAGGGCAAACACATCTATATTTATTACCAAGCGCCGGAGGAACAAAGCGCCTTCGATACGTCGTTAGAATGGGTGTTATGTGGTTAGCGTTAAAACACGGGACAGACCTGGATGATGACACGGGTGTTTTCATTTTCTTCTTTATCTTTTTTGTCTTCATCACCATTCCATTTGGTACATAAGTTCCATTTCACACAGTCACTTCCGGTAGTCAAGTCAACTTCCAAAATAATAAATGAATGCTGATGCATTCATATGTTAGCAGTTTAAATATTTGTCACTCATCTATCGGAGAGTAAAATTCATATTTCTATTTTTTAGATATTCTCCGATGAGCAAATAATTGGGTATCCTGACAGTGATAACGTTTAATGATGGTGCAGTAGCTTTCGGACATCATCTTGATCCTGTTTAATTACAAGAGAGACCTTTGACCGGATGGGTTGTTGCACAATAAACAACAAACAAGGATTCCCCTGGTGTCCTTTCTCGGAAATGTCTGAATTCCTAAACAACCATTATTGGTGGCTACGTAGTTGTTTTTATTACCTTTGAGATATAAACTGTTATATAGAAGGCTATACTTCATTCCTTTGATAATATTACTAATGTTAGATATTTTTTTCGTTTTTGAACAAATCCAAGATTACTAATAGTATTCCTGTCGTGACTGACTTGTTTTAAGTTTCAATAAGAACAGGTGATGATGAAATTGTCAAGTCCTTCGTGTCTTTCAATTACAATAAATTTGTTATCCGTGCCATCACAAAATACCTCCAGAACTTAAAATCAAGAACAAGGCAGATATTTCCGCATCCTTCGCTCACCTCGACCTTTACTAGCAACGAAACCAATAGTGGAATTTTTCACGAGGTTGTGTTATTTCCCTGCCGGGTATGTTCCTGTTCTATATATTAACCATTCGGCTTTACCAACACACTGTGTATGTTCCTGTTCTATATAGTAACCATTCGGTTTTACCAACACACTGTGTATGTTCCTGTTCTACATATTAACCATTCGGTTTTACCAGCACACTGTGTATGTTCCTGTTCTATATAGTAACCATTCGGTTTTACCAGCACACTGTGTATGTTCCTGTTCTATATAGTAACCATTCGGCTTTACCAACACACTGTGTATGTTCCTGTTCTATATATTAACCATTCGGCTTTACCAACACACTGTGTATGTTCCTGTTCTACATATTAACCATTCGGCTTTACCAACACACTGTGTATGTTCCTTTTCTATATAGTAACCATTCGGCTTTACCAACACACTGTGTATGTTCCTTTTCCGGGAGAAATGTTCTGTTTCTTAATGAGATATGAAGGTTAATATGTCCTATGCTTGGTAGTATATGATATATTAAGTACGATTCCTTCTTGTAAACCCATCCAATATTGATATATCTTACATAATCTTTTTATCTAAACGTATATAAACAAATAATCAGACAAAAATTAAAAAAAAAATAGATATCAAAATATTGCATCTGTTACTTAAATGACCAGAGCTCAGCTATATGTGAAGAGTTTGTATGACTCGGTTGGCAGGTGATCACATTCCATACGCCACGCTTTGATACCAATCTGAGTAATGTGTTAAAATGAACACAAAATAGCAATTTAAATAAAACTGATCTTATGAAATGTAGCCTAAGTATTGCTGACAATTTGATTATCGCTTGATGGCGTGTTGTTCTTCTCGTCATCAACACAGCTCTATACAGTAAGGGGCTGGGGTTAGGCATACTTTGCATTGACACGAAGAATGGCCATGTTTACATAAACATGCAAGTCAGTTGTTTAACAAATAGCCAAGCCCACATACCCGTTAAGTGCACGGTACTGCACTCTTACAGACGCTTGTCAATCTATAGCACTTATTACTGTATAACTGTCGAGCGTACCAGCGACCTTGATGGATAAGGTTCTGTTTGTACCCCATTAATTGACACGTCTATAACTTGTTTAAGGTTGTGTTATTTTGGTCAGAGGAACGTTCTGTCGTTTGGAATTTATTTCAGTACCGAGAATAAAATCAATATAGCATTCCAGAAAGAACAGGATGATTATTTTCGCTTCTTTAAGACTTCAATACCTAACACGATTTGATTATCAGTAATTCATAAATCATCTCTTAATTTTTATTTACAGTTATCAATCTACCGTATATATTTGTTTTCCACATCTCTCCGTATAAGAGCATTCTGTACGTGTTGTAATGTTCTTGTGAAATAAGTTCAGCTTTGCTGCCGAATCAGTTTTATTTTAATTGGTCATGAGTGTGCCTGCACGCCATGTTTTATTTTAATTGGTCATGACTGTGCCAGCACGTCTTGCTTTATTTTGATTGGTCATTACCGTACTAGCTCCATGACCTACTTTATTTTAAATGGTCATTACTGTGCTAGATGCATGACCTACTTTATTTTGATTGGTCATTACTATGCTAGCTGCATGACCTACTTTATTTTAAATGGTCTTTACTAGATGCACTACCTATTTGTATTTTGGTTAGTTATTTCCGTACTAGCTTCTTGCCATATTTAACTATGAATGGTGATGAATATTCCGGAAAATTCACTTATTCAAAATAAGTTGATCTTAATGTGATGTTGATGGTCTTGAACATATTCCATATACCTGTTTCACAGCATTTTGGAACTTCGCAAATATTCTATGCTAAGCGTTCAATTCAGTATCTTAATCAGGAATTTAGATATTAGGAATTTTAAAATCAGAATATTCTAAACTGTTCTCTTTACATTAACGGATGTACATTGCATTATCATTATAATGTTATTTCCTCATATAGATATTAATGGTGTGAAATACACATTTAGACACTCCTATCAATATTAAAAGAGGTACATCTATATACTAAACAAACCTAGTCACCTGGACGTATCGATCAAATATTGTACCACTGAAATAGTCTGCATCAGCAAGAGTACAAGAA